AAAGTAATGATTATGAAACGCATATACACACACACACACACACGCATATACACACATACACAAATACACACATATACACACATACACACGCAACAGTACTTTCTATAGTTCTGCCATGTGTTGGAACGCTCACAATTTCACTATGTATTTACAAATTCTATTGTACAAAATGCAGTGTGTTTTTGATGAGCACTTTGTGTATGAATTAGGGGTGTGACGATATATCAATTTTTCGATATATCGCGATACTTTCTCCCGCGATTCGATTATCAATATGCATTTGCCAAGTATCGATATCGATTTTGAAAAAATAATATATATATATTTTTTTGAATTGGTATCAATACTTAATATATGGCTACATTACGCATCTCCATTCTATTTATCATGAAATAAAGAGTATTTTTTCTTTTATTTATGCCATAAATTGGCATATTGTATATTTCTGACCAATATATCAATAATCGTCATATCGTGATAAAATCGTTATTGTGATATTATCGTTATCGTGAGCTGTGTATCGTATCGTATCGTGAGGTACCCTTAGGTTCCCACCCCTAGTATGAATTATGCAGTACAAATAAACTTGCCTGGTCGTAGAAGCATGAGCCCTGTGCGTGGTCTGGAACGTTCTACAGTGCAGCATTCTACTAGCAATGCAAGACTCAGTGGAAACGCTGTGGTGAAGAGAGGTCGCTGTCTTACTCACTTTAGTTCATTTGATTCTGAGCAGCTAAATAATCAGAATATATAGCTACCACCACTATCAATAAACATATTTTTATTCATAGAATCCATAAATGTGTGCATTGTTCTGATATTCCGTTTATTTCCTGAGATATGAATTAATAAAGTTGACAAATATGAGGCAGAGTGGGCCACAGATAGTCTGGACTCTGAAAAAAAATGAGTCGGGATATCCTCGGCATTCCGCGCGGGTTAATGACGTCGCCGCAACGTGATATTTACCGGGTAAACAGATCACTTATTACTGCGCATTACGGTGAAAGCGGCATCTCTCCAGCTGTTGCGGTTACGGAGATATAATCCGACGAACTTAATAGCAAAATACACGGTAAGTAACCGGGATTTTGGAAAACCAACACCACACACATACATCTAAGATTATAAGCTTTAGAATGATGGTATATTTGAATCATGTCACGGTTGTTTTGACCCGCGGATCAGTGAATAAAGTTGAAAAACCGCAGCGCTCATCACACACTCTGCTCTGCTGCCGAAGCGGCAGGCAAGTCCGGGCGAGTCCACTTTTCAGGGGGGTAGAAACGCGAGTCACGTGGCCCAAACGGACCAATGCCATTGGTTGGACTAATCCATTTTACATGTTAACAAGGGTGTTTGGGTTAGTTAACATGTTTAAAGCTCGAGTCTGTAACTTTAGTCTCATAAATAACATGCTTAAAGCTAAGGTCTGTAACTTTAGTCTCGTAAATAACACATGTTTAAAGCTGAGCTCTGTAACTTTAGTCTCATAAATAACATGTTTAAAGCTCGGGTCTGTAACTTTAGTCTCATAAATAACATGTTTAAAGCTCGGGTCTGTAACTTTAGTCTCATAAATAACATGTTTAAAGCTCGGGTCTGTAACTTTAATCTCATAAATAACATGTTTAAAGCTCGGGTCTGTAACTTTAATCTCATAAATAACATGTTTAAAGCTCGGGTCTGTAACTTTAATCTCATAAATAACATGTTTAAAGCTCGGGTCTGTAACTTTAATCTCATAAATAACATGTTTAAAGCTCGGGTCTGTAACTTTAATCTCATAAATAACATGTTTAAAGCTCGGGTCTGTAACTTTAATCTCATAAATAACATGTTTAAAGCTCGGGTCTGTAACTTTAATCTCATAAATAACATGTTTAAAGCTCGGGTCTGTAACTTTAATCTCATAAATAACATGTTTAAAGCTGAGGTCTGTAACTTTAGTCTCATAAATAACATGTTTAAAGCTCGGGTCTGTAACTTTAGTCTCATAAATAACATGTTTAAAGCTGAGGTCTGTAACTTTAGTCTCATAAATAACATGTTTAAAGCTCGGGTCTGTAACTTTAGTCTCATAAATAACATGTTTAAAGCTGAGGTCTAACTTTAGTCTCATAAATAACACATGTTTAAAGCTCAGGTCTGTAACTTTAGTCTCATAAATAACATGTTTAAAGCTGAGGTCTGTAACTTTAGTCTCATTAATAACACATGTTTAAAGCTGAGGTCTAACTTTAGTCTCATAAATAACACATGTTTAAAGCTGAGGTCTGTAACTTTAGTCTCATTAATAAAATGTTTAAAGCTGAGGTCTATAACTTTAGTCTAATTAATAACATGTTTAAAGCTCGGGTCTGTAACTTTAGTCTCATTAATAACATGTTTAAAGCTGGGGTCTGTAACTTTAGTCTCATATATAACACGTGTTTAAAGCTGAGGTCTATAACTTTAGTCTCATTAATAACATGTTTAAAGCTGGGGTCTGTAACTTTAGTCTCATATATAACACGTGTGTGTGTGTGCATATGCCAAAAACATTTCTAAGCATCATATTTAGATTGCTCCATCAATTACCTTTATTTTGATATATTACATAGTAGTTTGAAAAAAATGTTTTCCGGATTTCCTGTTGGCAGCCATCTTGGATAAGCTGGCGGCCATTTTGGAATCGGGGTCGGCCAAATTGTAAAATGAATATCGAATTCAACATCCCTGAATTGTTTCCTTCTTTACTGTGGATTTTAATGTTTATAGTTAGTAAAATAGGGAAGTTACAGCACTTGGAAGATGAATAAAGGCTTGAACTGGCTGAATAGAAGGTTCCACAGTATCCCTTTGTTTTAAACCAAATTACTTTCACTATAAGCGCCTAAAAGCACTTATCAATATGGTAATAAAATCATAACCACTTATCCGATTTTCATAATTCAAAAACTGTTTTATTCCTCTTACTGAGCTGGAAAATACTGTGCTGAATTAAATCTGATTAGGTAATTTAAAAAATGTAATCTTGCATTGCTAATTCTACTCATTTTATGTAATAGGATTTCTAATGTGCCCAGAGACCTGCTTTTTCCTGCGCAGCTCTGGACTGAGGCTTTGGAATGATCTGGATGGTCGATTCCAATAGCCTGACTCTGGCCAGACCCATGTATTTTGCTGCACTTCACACATGAGTCTGGTACTGAGCCACAGTGGTTGGATTTCAGAAGGCAGGGCCTTGTAAAAATAATCCTTGTATGTGATTGGATAGACCACTTGTCCGTTATCTTGAATGAAGTCTGCTTTCAACCACTCACATCGAAGCACACAGCTCCCATAGGTTGCCAAATCCCAGCAAGATTTTCCAACCCAAAATCCTCGAATACCCAAAAAAAAACACTCAATGATTTTTTTGGCTAAAAACGTACTGCAATCAACTTGGGCTATCATGATTCTGTTTATTGTCTTTCTGCTTATTTAATACCTACAAGTCTCTTGGAAAACAATATGCGGGAACCACCAAACCTGGCAACCCCGCTGCATAGTGTGTAAACGGGAACACTGAACCAGTGCTTCAACCAAACTTTACAGGAACATTTGACTCTTAAAACACAGATATATCAACATAGAACCATCGACATCTCGCCTCAAATTGCATTAAAAGTGACATCCGTGTCTTAATTCGATCGTATTTACTCTTTTAAAAAGATTCACGGACTTTATGTCCGCCATCTTGGATTCCTCTCTCTACTGCATGAGAGAAGCTTGAGAAGGCAGTGCAAACCCCACGTAACACCGGCAATCCTGATTGGTCGATTAAAAAATAACCTGGGGAAGGCGTTCGCTATGGGCTCGATACCAGACCCATGTGGTTCAGCCAAACGCCTCTGGTGGAGCATGGCGGAACTACAAGGGTCTGGCAGAGCCAGACTACATTTCCAATACAACATCAACACAAAATGTATCGGCTTATTAATATATTAAATCTGGGTTTACCTAACTTTATTTCATCTTTAAATACATGCTGTAAAAACTTTAAATCACACCACAGCATCTGCCTTACTCATGTTTCTGGACAACTGCTGTTTAGAGATTTAGGGCGATAGAAAATACATTGAACTGAATGGAAAATAGAAAGCACACTTTGAGTCACTATCTGACTCTTTGGGCTGGTCCGCTATGTTTCACTTCTGTCTGAAAAAGCAGATCTAAAGATGTGACGGAGGCCAGAAATGCATGAAGTGAAAACTAGTGATAGAAGCCACTGTTCTGAGAGCGAAGACTATAATGGCAGTATTACAGGTTTGTGGTTTGAACGTTACGAACAGCAGCTTTAATTGGATTATTTGACACTCTTTAGACTAATATGTGTTTTCTGTTTGATTCTCTGATCTGTGTTGGCGATTTCAATGGTTGTGTAAAGTCCTCTGAGATAACTACTGTTGTGATTTAGGGCAATAAAATAATAACTTTAATTGAACTGATTTATATTTCAGATGTTCTGTTGTCACTCATGCATACAGTGATTTGAGGGAGTGTCTGTGATAATAAACCATAAACAAACCACATTAACTTGGATGTGTCATGTGTAGATGCTTCTAAAGATGACCATATTGGGTCAGTGGGGTCCTGGTCTGAGCAGTTTGGGAGATTGGCGAGCACAGCGGTCACATGGCACAGATGTGGCAAACGGCCACATGGCGGTGATTCAGAGACTGACAAACCATCTCCAGTGATTTCTTTATGGCCATCACTGGTGCATGAACTGCAAACAGAAACGCCGGGAGCAGAGGTTTGAAGAGTCTGCTTTTATGATCTGACAAACGGCGCCACGGCGAGAGCCATTAGACATTAGACATTTACTGCTCTATAAAACCAGCGCACCACAAAGGCGGAGCGGGCAGCGGGCGGAGCGGGCAGCGGGCGGAGCGGGCGAGGACGGAGCGAGCAGGGAGGGAGAGGGCGGAGCGAGCAGAGAGAGAGAGGGCGGAGCGAGCAGAGAGAGAGAGGGCGGAGCGAGCAGAGAGAGAGGGCGGAGCGAGCAGAGAGAGAGGGGGCGGAGCGAGCAGAGAGAGAGGGGGCGGAGCGAGCAGAGAGAGAGGGGGCGGAGCGAGCAGAGAGAGAGGGCGGAGCGAGCAGAGAGAGAGGGGGCGGAGCGAGCAGAGAGAGAGAGGGCGGAGCGAGCAGAGAGAGAGGGGGCGGAGCGAGCAGAGAGAGGGGGGGCGGAGCGAGGGGGGGCGGAGCGAGCAGAGAGAGGGGGGGCGGAGCGAGCAGAGAGAGAGGGGGCGGAGCGAGCAGAGAGAGAGGGCGGAGCGAGCAGAGAGGCAGGGGGCGTGGCCTGCTAAAATGCTTTGAACGCAGCTTTACAATTATGAATATCAATATGAACTACTTTGTGGTAGTTGTAATAATAATTGTTCATATTTTACAGCCTCATGTTATTTCCTTTTACTCTATTATTGGCCTAAAACTTTAAGAAAATATTCAGCAATTATTTTTGTAAATATTATTTAACTAAAAGGGCGCACAAAAAAGTGTCTCTAATCGGTACGTAAGTGAGCTGCAGCCCTTTCCCTCTTATGTAGTGTGCTGTTGTGTGGTGTGTTGTCGTGCTGGCTCCTCTGATGTGTTGTGTGCTGTTGTATGGTGTTGTGTGGTGTGTTGTTGTGCTGGCTCCTCTGATGTGTTGTGTGCTGTTGTATGGTGTTGTGTGGTGTGTTGTCGTGCTGGCTCCTCCTCTGTGTTGTGTGCTGTTGTATGGTGTTGTGTGGTGTGTTGTCGTGCTGGCTCCTCTGATGTGCTCTGGATGTGAATTACCCGGACATGCGTCAGGAAGCGGACGGCCTGTCAAAACAAACGCTGCTTCGTTAAAATCGCAACGACGTGAAACAAAATGGTGGAACTGAGATTTTTCCAAACCCGCAGCAGATGAAGGACGTACGGTTTGTTGCATCAGTTTGTTTTCTTTCACATCGATTGCACGAGAATGACGGCAATCTGCTTTTGATTTGGAGCCTCATTGTTGAGTTTGGATTCTACACCCATGTCACATCTGCAGCAATCCACAATATTCATTTGGAAATGTAGCTTTATCATTTATATCTTAACAGTACTACTGCTTCTGCCACTGCTGCTACTCGGACTGTGAGGTTTAAGAAAAGGTCCACTGTATTCTTAAATGTGAGCTTCTGTGCTGCTCCTTGTAATTGGAATATAGATCTGGCGTTCATAAAGCCAGTCCGAGTGTGCCCTGGCCTTTCCCCCGCTCCACAGCTGTGACAATACTCTCCTGCTCACTGCTTTTTGCGATCAGCTTCTTTGCCGTTCGGTCATCGATTTTTAGCAAAAAAAAGCGTTCCACAATTATCCCTCTGCCTCGCCATCAGAAGTGAGCGCTCCAATCAAATCCTTTTTTCATTTTCCCCAGCACCAGTTACTCGCCGTTCCCGTTGGCGTTCCATAGTGTGGGGTCGCCGTGGTTACAGGAAGCACATGTCCACGTTATCGGCTAGCTCACATTGGGCTTCCTTCCTTCCTTCCTGTTGGGCTCCGACCTTTTCCTGACATTGTTTTGGCGGAGCAGCGGGGAGGTGCAGATGTGTGCCACAAAGTTGGTTTTATTCAATCCCCAGCGCTGTTTACAGGACATCAGCTCCCAGCCTGCACAAATAATGCATCAAGCAAAACAGAAGCTAAAAAACTACCAAAAATATTTACCGATGTTTTATTGAAAGCTTATTCATAATTGAGGAGGACATTTAAAAACACCTTAAGTTTTGCGCAACCAGGGAGTTGTGCGTTTTGCTTTGGGGGGCAGAATATGGAACGGATTGTATTCTGATTCTAAACCACACTGGAAACACTAACACTTCCTGGTTCAGGCTAAAGCTCTTTCTTTTATAGCATGTGTACATTCCACAACATCCCTCTGTCTGGGGGAGGAAGTCTTACTCTGAACAAAATTAACATTGTTTGGAATCTTACAGTATTTCCGAAGGTTGCTTTCAACTCATTTGCCGTTTATTAGTCATTTTGTTGATTATTTTAGAAACCGGTCCAGATGTTGATCAGAGAACAGAAAAATACACCAGAAAATATTGGATTTTTGAATCGTCACCGCGCATAGTTTATGATTTAGCTCATTCAGTTTGTGATTTGGCCTGATCTTTCCTCTGGTCTGTCTCTCTGGTCTGTCTCTCTGGTCTCTCTGTCTCTCTGGGTTCTCTTTCTGGTCTCTCTCTCTCTGGTCTCTGTCTCGGTCTCTCTGGGTTCTCTCTCTGGTCTCTCTCTCTCTGGTCTCTGTCTCGATCTCTCTGGGTTCTCTCTCTGGTCTCTCCCTCGCTCTAGTCTGTCTCTCTCTCGCTCTAGTCTCTCTCTCTGGTTTCTCTCTCTGGTCGGTCTCTCTCGCCTGTTTCTCTCTGGTCCCTCTCTCTCTCTGGTCTCTCTCGCCCTCTCTGTCTCTGTCTCTCTGGGTTCTCTCTCTGGTCTCTCTCTAGTCTGTCTCTCTGGTCTGTCTCTCTCTGGTCCCTCTCTCTCTCTGTGTCTCTGTCTCTCTGGTCTGTCTCTCTCTCTCTCTCTCTCTCTCTGGTCTCTCTCTCTGGTCTCTCTGTCTCTGTCTCTCTGGGTTGTCTCTCTGGTCGGTCTCTCTGGTCTCTCTCTCTCTCTCTGTCTCTGTCTCTCTGGGTTCTCTCTCTGGTCTCTCTCTGTCTCTGTCTCTCTGGGTTCTCTCTCTGGTCTCTCTCTGTCTCTGTCTCTCTGGGTTCTCTCTCTGGTCTCTCTAGTCTGTCTCTCTGGTCTGTCTCCTGGTGTGCGGCCGTTTGAGGCGCTGGTCCCGCTCTGCTTCCTGTAGTGCTGGGGGCTGATCTGGAGCTGTCACATCTCCTACATCCTGTTGTTCTTTACACCTTTGTCTGAGCGAGCGAGTTGGGGATTGCTCCAAACACACATAGTTCCCACGCACACGGTCACACCAGGTGGGAGAAGGTAGTGGAGAAAACAACACCATGTCTGTTGGCATCTCTGACTGTGGCGGCTGTGTACAGTTGTCAAAAACAGTGAGTGTGATGAGGTTGGGAGGGAAGCGGCACCTCCATGTCCTGTGGTCCTGAGCCGGAGAATGGTGCCTTGTGGCCATACCTGCAGGTTAAAGCCAGATCCCATCAGACTTCTGAAGCTAAGCAGGGGGGGGCTGGTTAGTACTGTGATGGAAACAAAAGCGGTCACAGTTCTGCGGCTATAAAGTGCCAAACTGTCTATAGGCATGACACTACCCCCACATTAGAATAGTCTGGTGTGTGTGTGAATGGTTGGTAGTGGTGGGAGGGGCAGATGGCACATACTGGTGGCCTCGCTTGTGTCTGTTGCCCAAGGGCAGCTGTGGCTACTGTAGTGTATGGCGTGAATGAATGACGTGTGTGTTTGTTTGATGTCTTAGTGGCTCAGCGCTGGTCTTTGGACCTAATGGTCGTGGATTCAATTCCACCACAACGCATGGCTTATGCTCCCACTGATGTCTGCTGGCGTTGTGTCCCTGGGCACTTAACCGCACTTTTCCTGAAGTCCCTACTGAAACACCAAGGCCGTATCTTCTTCTAAGGAGCAGCCATCTTCCCGTGGACCCACCACCTGCAGTAGGTTCGGTGAAGGACTGGTGCTTTGTGAATTGGGTGGCAGCTCTGATTGCCACCCCCTGACCTAGAAATGGAAAAGGAATGAAAATGAATGAATGAATAGTCTAATACTCAAACTTTGATCTTTGCACATTAACTGAAGTGCAAACACTTAGCAGGGTAGTGCAAAGACTTCATCCTAGAACGTGCAGGACACAGGACCTTATTAGACATAATAACATCTCTGAATAGACGGCCTCTCACATGAATTGTGAGCTCCCGGCACAAAAGCGAAACAGACTATTAATTAATTACAGATTGCAATGCTCTGTTTTTATTTCATTGCGTGCAAAAATACCGCAATACAGATTTTTTTCCCCCTCCACCACTATTTGACAGGTTAGAATAATTACTTTAGAACATGGTAGAGATGGCAAGGTTTAGACGTGTTGTGTTTCTCTAATTATTTTGAGTTAGATGGAATCCTCACACTGGTTATCATTTCACTATACTGTATATTCTTAAACATTATCTCACTTCTGCTGTTGCTGCTACTACTAAATCTACTACTACTACTACTACTTCTAATACTACTATATCTACCACTACTACTTATTTATCTACGTCCCCGAGGTTCTGTCCCTCCATGTAAAAAACCTTCCGGTCCCCTGTGTGTGCGACTGGTTACTGTTGAAGTTTCCAAACATACGCACATTTCCTCACACTCTGTTCCCCGTTTGGTCAGCGGTTTTGCTGCCTCCCTTTAAACCCATCTCTGGAGACACACTCTTTCCACGTCTGAAAATCCCCAGATTAGTTTGGCCGTCGACACAAACGCTGCATCTTTGTGTCTCGTTTGATGCGGCGGCAGAAGTGCATTAGCCTCGCGAAGGACTGGAGACTTCTGGCAGAGTGTGCGGAGCGGCCTCCCCAGAGACGGACGCCCCGCAATCTGTCGGCCTGATCGCACAAAAGCCCCACTCATGTTTCCTCACTGTTTATCTTCATTTTAATTAATCCAGCAGGCTCAAAGCACCTGTCCGACCTGGCAACCTCGCAGCTTCGTCACCGCGCCAACTCTTCCAGTCCCCGTGAATTCTCAAAACAGGCAGTTCTCTGAAGAGTCCTGCTTTGACAGATTATGAAACACGGAATACTGCAACTGGAAGTGTTGTCAACTAAATGAAGAGTTTTTTTCTCGGTAATTCTGATTCTGTGGTACGCAGATGATTTGGCAGCATTACACAAACACACAATCCAAAATGGTGTGTCCAAATAGATATGATGATCCTCACTGTCCTTAGACCTGGGACAAAAAGTGAAGTCTCAGGGAGGCCCATATTGAGAGAGGGATCCACTCCCACGGGCAGACTGAGGCTGTAGATCCACCCACCAGTCTGGGCCATAAAGACCAGTGAAGGAGACAGTGATGCCATGAAGCAATGGGACAGTGGGTGAATAGCAGTGAACAAACTACAGCTTAAGTAATATTGCTGACAAATGGTGGAAGAGGAGAGGATCGTGCTGTTCCCATGCTTCCCCAGCCGGGGTCTCCATATGCAACCGTCCTTTTTGACTTAGGGTTATATTTCTTAGCCTTACATACCTAGCCATATGCCATAACTCCAATGATATAGCAATCATCACGACAAGCATGCCTCTGAATTCCCCCTCGCTCAAAGCATCAAGTTAAAACGACTATTCTGGCAGTTTCCAATTTAACGCCACATATCGCGCGCCCTTTTAGATTGCAAAAGCAGCGGGGAAGAAGTCTATCTCGGGCTCCTCTCTCAGAATGAAGAGACCTGGGTTTGTGGAAGAGCTGAGCCATGCAGGAGATGACACGGAGTGGGATTACCATGAACTACTCTTAGCCATTAGGCGTTTTAAGCCAATTCTCAAATTAAGGACATTAGTCACAGTCATTGTCCTCGTTTGATAATACATTTTTATAGCGGAACTTTTCTCCACTAATGGATTTTCACAGCTCTGCAAAGTTAAATCTGCTTACTTTGAAGTCTGTTTTTCTGCAAGTCTTGTGCATTGTTGTCAACATGGCTTTGTTTACGGGTTCAAAAGAAATACATCGGGGATATCCAGGTCACTATAGAACTCTGGTTACACAACTGCTCAGGTCTGGACCCCAAGATAGACTGTTCGCCCCGACTTTGGAATGAGCTTGGCTGCTGTGGGACCCTGTAGGATATTTGCCCAATGTTCATATATGTGGTTGAATGTCGATGGTCCTGGATCATCTCTATATTGAAGTATCTATAATTGAAGTATGGAGAGGGTAAATTTTCAGATCCCCACATTCTTTGTCTTTGGGCAAATTGTGTTTTTTTTTGGGTGTAAATATGTGATTACACATTTCCTCCAAGTCACTGATTTGGTTCCTACCCTGTCAATCACCTCCTGGAGGCGGGCTTCTCACGTCACAAAGTGAAGTTATTTTACTACCTTCATGCTATACTTAGCATGAAGGTAGTAAAATAACTTATTTACTCTATGGAGCTGATTGGACGGATTAGGATTGCGTTTTAAATACCATGAACTACGATAATATTTCTAGGTAGACTTTTCTAAACAGATTTAGTTCAGTTGCTGTTTGTTTTGGATTGTAACGGAACAGGAGCAAAGGGATGAAGGCTGTAAATTCAGACTGAGGCCAGAGATTGTTTAAAATGTATTTTGGATCCAATCACATTCTTAATTCAAATGGTGGTGTTTTTCTAGAGAGAAATGGTGTTAAAATGAGGTCTAACGCGCCATGGTCCATTTTAACACACTGCCATCAGTGCTGAATGTGAGTGATAATTGACTTCGAGGGGCCACAAAAATTATCCAGGGCTGCATCTGGCCACATTTACTCTTATGTGAAGATAATCTAATAAACCAGTGGTCTCAATCAGAGGTCCCTGGGCCTAGTCTCAGCCACAAAAACAATGCTTATGTGTTGGTCTATCTGATAGAAATTAATACTGAAGGGTATTAAGCACAAAGCCATTAGATTACATAAAATGAATCATATTATATTTGTGCATCGCCCCAAATCACAACCGAAGTCGTCTCGGAGGACTTTACAAAGTTGTGGATTCACCAACAACAGATCAGAGAATCAAACGGGTGGAACACAGGAGATGTATCAGTAAAACACTTGTAGAAGCCATTGATCCATGGTGAGCGGGGTGAGTACTGTCCAGAATGTTTATATGTCCTGGATCATCACTGTCCTCGGACCCTCCTGCATCAGAGACGAACCACTCGCAGAATCTCAAAGTTTGAGTATTAGATGAACTTGTTTTAATCTTTCGTATCACCCAAATGGAGGATAACTCTTTTACCTTGACATGTTTCCACTGACACTTCCGTTGAGACACGGATAAACATGGATAAGGCTGATAAGGCCATGTCTCGGAGACGGAAGTGGTTGGTGAAACATGTCAAGGTGATGTCATCGTTATCCAACATTTGTCTGATAAAGAAGAATCCAACGAGTCTAAAGACCAGAGCGGACCAGTTTCTGAGCTGAGGCAGTTCAGAGGTCTACAGGGGAATGAGGGCCTGTGCTCTGGACCAGATCAAGAATGTGGTCGTGTAGAGACTCGCAGGTTGTGGAGACACTGTTTAAGGTTAGCCCTGTCCTGTTGTCTCTCTCAGCCCTGTCCTGGTCTCTCTTTCTAGTCTCTCTCTCTAGTCTCTCTCTCTGGTCTCTCTAGCTAGTCTCTCTCTCTAGTCTCTGTCTGGTCTCTCTCTAGTCTCTCTCTGGTCTCTCTCTCTAGTCTCTCTATCTAGTCTCTCTCTCTAGTCTCTGTCTGGTCTCTCTGGTCTCCCTCTCTCTGGCCTCTCTCTGACCTCTCTCTGGCCTCTCTCTGGCCTCACTTTCATCTATCTCTGATCTCTCTCTCTGGTCTCTCTCTGGTCTCTCTCTCTGGTCTCTCTCTGAGCCTTCTCCTAGTCTCTCTCTCTGGTCTCTCTGAGCCCTCTCCTCGTCTCTCTCTCTCAGACCTTGTCCTGGTCCCGTCCCACTTGTTGTGATGCTGCAGGAAACGCCTCTTCCACACACCATTTGTTCCGCTGTTTGAGCTAATGAAGCGCGCAGCCTCACGTTCCATTTGAAACACTGACCCATCTGCTCTGCCCCGACGCCTCATCCATATTCATACCGAGTGCGTGTGTGAGCCGCTGCCAACGCCGGCCCGCTAACGCCGGCCCGCTAACGCTCTCTGTCCGAGGGATATTGGGCTGATCTCAAACCACAAGTGAACGCTCGCAATTCCCCCAACTCCGATTAACGCCGTCTTTAAAGAGACGCTTCCAGGAGGAGACCAGATGAATCGATAACTACAACATTGTTACTTTTATCAGCCTCCTTTAGATCAATGTTTCAAACGTGTGATACGCATCTGTGTAATGGTTCACAGACTGTAACCCGATACGTGCAGGAGGGAGAGGGTTGGGTGTTTAAAGTAAAGCTCCAGATAATTCGTTAACAAAGGATTAAAAAGATGAAAATTCAATTCATTCTATATTTACATTGCTCAAAAACACAACAGCAATTATCTCGGAGGACTTAACAAGACCGTTGAATTTGCCAACACCGGCCATATTCAAACCATCCAAACAAAAGAAATGCAGAGATAAAAACAGAGACATTGGTCCATAAGCGTCAGGTGACAAATGTCCTTAAATGTCATTGCCGTTTTTGTGGACTACGACATGACAAACTTTTAAAAATGACTTACTAATCACAGAAAGAGTCACTATATGCCTCTATGGGATGAGATTTATCCACCCTGCTTCTCTTTTGTGTGTGGTAAAACTGCTCCATGATTGTTAGTGATCAAAAATACTAATACTTAGGAAGACCAAAGGAATGTGTTTTAAAACTTTATCAACATTGAACTCCTTCCTCTGCCGGATTCCCCAGATCAGACCCATTGCAGGCTTTGCTGTTGCTAACCATGCTACACAGTACCTTTGCTATTTTGATGTGATTTGACGACATGTTAGCTGGCCTGGTGTTGATACCAGCTACGATGTAACTCTAGTTTGTGTCTGCACCTTGGCTCTGCGTCGGGGCCCGCGGTGTCCTGCCAAAGCACGCCATTACCAGACTAAAATTAGAAGCGGGCACGATGGCGGTAGATGGTGTGGAACTGTTTTACGAGGCCGCCCCGGTGGTGGCGGCGGTGGGGGGAGGGCACTGGCAGCGCGATGAGGCGAGGCGGGGTGGCACTGGAGCTGGCAGGGCAGGCGCGGCCTCTCCACGCTCCACCCGTAATGGCTGCCTCTTTAATGGGAGCCGCGAGGGGCCGCCATTCATTACTCTCGGGGAGGGGGCGCGTTTGGAAGGGGAAACCCGCGGTGAAAATTGCCAGAGCGCACGCAGGGAGCGGTCGATGTGCGCGCAGGGGGTGGGGGTGTAAAGTGTACAGTCGATGGAACAGCCAGGAGGGAGAGGGAGGGAGGGCATCAGGCAGAAGCTGTTAAAGAAATGAACAGGAGGAGAGTGAGTGGGTGCAGCGCCACTAACTGCGGCTATGTTCGATTTTAGAGTTTTTCCGAATTCAACTTTTAGGATGTTTTAAATACCTCACAGAACATGTGATGGGCTGTACATGTATGTTGAAATATTGCTTCTATTGGTCCATGGAGCTCTCTCTGGTCTCTCTCTCTGATTTCTCTCTAATTTCTCTATTGTCTCTCTCTGGTTTCTCTCTGGTCTCTCTCTCTGGTCTCTCTCTCTGGTCTCTCTCTAGTCGCTCTTTCTGGTCTCTTTCTCTAGTCTCTCTCTCTGGTCTCTCTCTCTGGTATCTCTCTGGTCGCTCTTTCTGGTCTCTTTCTCTAGTCTCTCTCTCTGGTCTCTCTCTCTGGTCTCTCTCTCTGGTCTCTCTCTCTGGTCCCTCTCTCTGGCCTCTCTCTCTGGCCTCTCTCTCTGGCCTCTCTCTCTGGCCTCTCTCTCTGGCCTCTCTCTCTGGCCTCTCTCTCTGGCCTCTCTCTCTGGCCTCTCTCTCTGGCCTCTCTCTCTGGCCTCTCTCTCTGGCCTCTCTCTCTGGCCTCTCTCTCTGGCCTCTCTCTCTGGCCTCTCTCTCTGGTCTCTCTCTCTGGCCTCTCTCTCTGGTCTCTCTCTCTGGCCTCTCTCTCTGGCCTCTCTCTCTGGCCTCTCTCTCTGGCCTCTCTCTCTGGCCTCCTCTGGCCTCTCTCTCTGGCCTCTCTCTCTGGTCTCTCTCTCTGGTCTCTCTGGTCTCTCTCTGGTCTCTCTCTCGTCTCTCTCTCTCGTCTCTCTCTGGTCTCTCTCTGGCCTCTCTCTCTGGCCTCTCTCTCTGGCCTCTCTCTCTGGCCTCTCTCTCTGGTCTCTCTCTCTGGTCTCTCTCTCTGGTCTCTCTCTCTGGCCTCTCTCTCTGGCCTCTCTCTCTGGCCTCTCTCTCTGGCCTCTCTCTGGCCTCTCTCTCTGGCCTCTCTCTCTGGTCCCTCTCTCTGGTCTCTCTCTGGTCTCTCTCTCTAGCCTCTCTCTCTGGTCCCTCTCTCTGGTCCCTCTCTCTGGTCTCTCTCTGGTCTCTCTCTCTGGTCCCTCTCTCTGGTCTCTCTCTGGTCTCTCTCTCTAGCCTCTCTCTCTGGTCCCTCTCTCTGGTCTCTCTCTCTGGTCTCTCTCTCTGGTCTCTCTCTCTGGTCTCTCTCTCTGGCCTCTCTCTCTGGCCTCTCTCTCTGGTCTATCTCTCTGGTCTCTCTCTCTGGTCTCTCTCTCTGGTCCCTCTCTCGTCTCTCTCTCTCGTCTCTCTCTGGCCTCTCTCTCTGGCCTCTCTCTCTGGCCTCTCTCTCTGGCCTCTCTCTCTGGTCTCTCTCTCTGGTCTCTCTCTCTGGCCTCTCTCTCTGGCCTCTCTCTCTGGTCCCTCTCTCTGGTCTCTCTCTGGTCTCTCTCTCTAGCCTCTCTCTCTGGTCTCTCTCTCTAGCCTCTCTCTCTGGTCCCTCTCTCTCTGGTCTCTCTCTGGTCCCTCTCTCTGGTCTCTCTCTCTGGTCTCTCTCTCTGGCCTCTCTCTCTGGCCTCTCTCTCTGGTCTCTCTCTCTGGTCTCTCTCTGGTCTCTCTCTCTGGTCTCTCTCTGGTCTCTCTCTCTGGTCTCTCTCTCTGGTCTCTCTCTCTGGTCTCTCTCTGGTCTCTCTCTCTGGTCTCTCTCTGGTCTCTCTCTCTGGTCTCTCTCTCTGGTCTCTCTCTCTGGTCTCTCTCTAGTCTGACTCCTATGCGTTTGTCATTACTGCATTTCCTGTGTGTTCAAAAATTGTATTCTCTGATCTGCTGTTGGTAAATCCACAACACAAATACATTGAATTGAATTAAAGGAACAACTCAAAACCAATCTCTGGTCGTCATGCATCACGTTAAAGAGGGAAGGGACCCAGACTGATGAATCAAGAGAGACCTTAACCTAAAAGAGATCACACACATTTGAATTGTCCTGATGTTAAAAGTGGCCTCTCTGATGGAGGTTCAGTCGGCTGCGGATACATGAACTCTCTCAGAACTCTTTATTTGTATCAATGACAGAAGTGTTGCTGCTGTCGTGCGGCTGATCCAATTCCCTGCGGCCAGCTGCTCTGTATCCAGTTTCCCAGAGATCAAATGAAATGGGCTTTCCATTTCTGCCGTTCAGCGACAGAACCATAGCATGACGTGTTTGCAAACTCGCTCTTCTCCACAGGGTCGCGGGCCGGTAGAGAATGACCTTGCACAGCTATTTCCGTACAAAGCAGATGCCAACAAAATCAGGGGGTCTTCCTCTGTGGCAGATCGGCCGGGGGCAAGGCAGGCTAAAAGCAGGTCGTGTAGGTTCGGCGTGGCGGGGACCGGCAATCGGCAAAGTCATTAATCAACGGGAGGAGCCCTGCGAGGCCCCGGACATCAGACACATGTCGTTAGCTTACTGGCACACAAGACCAGAGTAAATGTGCTCAGATTTATTTACTTAAGCTAAAGAAAGAGATGGGATTTTATATTTTGTTCATATTGACTTTTCTGCTCTGTTGGGTGAATATATTATCTCTGACCTTAACTCCATTGTCAGGGTTCACCCACTTATCCTGGATTGGCTTTAAAGCACCTGTATTCACCTACGTTTGTCAATGCTTTGTCTTTCGCTGACTTTTGCTAGCATAGTGTCAGTTTGGCTAGCATAGTGTCCCCATTTGTCACTCACTATCAGACTCAAAGTTGAAAAAACGGCTCATTTTTGGTGTTGTATTTAACACGATGCCAGAGTTGGACACGGTGTTAAAATCAAGCTAAGTGTATAAACAGATGTTGAGGATTAAGTGGGTTGAATTCATAAGCTAACTCTTATGCTAGCAGCTGTTGTTTAACCAAGCGAAGCTAATGTCAACAACTCTTAAATTAACAGAATTGGACATGTCTTTGTCTGTAGCCTGGACCCTTGATCTTGGACTCTGACCTAGACCTGGACTCTGTGACCTGGACTCTACTCTGGACTCTGAACACGGACCAAACCAAGACTTATTTTTTTAGACATAATCTGGAGTTCTAAGTACATAGTTCCTGAAGAAATGAATGTAAATGTACACGGACTCGGACCGGGACTCGGACCGGGACTCGGACCGGGACTCGGACCGGGACTCGGACTCGGACCGGGACTCGGACCGGGACTCGGACTCGGACCGGGACTCGGACCGGGACTCGGACCGGGACTCGGACCGGGACTCGGACCGGGACTCGGACCGGGACTCGGACCGGGACTCGGACCGGGACTCGGACCGGGACTCGGACCGGGACTCGGACCGGGACTCGGACCGGGACTCGGACCGGGACTCGGACCGGGACTCGGACTCGGACCCGGACTCGGACCCGTAGTTTTTATTGTTGTCATAATCAGGAGTTTCAAGATGATGTCACCAACTCTTAAAACCAAAGAATCTGTACTTTATCTGGACCCTGAATCCTGGACCTGGCTCTGTAGTTTTTTTAAAGTCATAATCTGGTGTTTTAAGTCTTCAACATAGTCTCTGAAGAATGAAAAGGTATTTGTTTCTTCTACACCAGACTGTAGTAAGTTAGCGATGTTATCACTTTGACATGTTTGGACGGATACTTCAGTCTTCCTCAGAAGCGTTGGGGCTGGAGAGGAAAGACTGAAGTACATCTTTTATCTCCAATAAGAACCTCCCTCTGCTCCTAAAGAAGTAGTATCTTTATTTCCGGCTTATAATTGGTCATAAATGCGACAAGCACCAGAGCGCTAACGTGCTAATGACACGGAATATGCATCCGGAGTGTGGACGAGCAGACATTAAAGATTGATGCCCACATTATGACATCAGACGAGAGCTTTGAAGATACAAAACAGCCGAGGGACGAGGGAGCCAGGCACCCGCCACCGCTGCTGCCGTGTGTGCTGTAATCTTCCTGGAAAAGGTGTGTGTGTGTGAAAGAAGTGGGCCAAGTGGAGTGAGACCTGGGCGTCCTGCTGGTCTGGAGCGCGGAGCAATCAGTGCGGCAGGACGGGAGGCAGAGCACGGAGCCTCGAATAGAACAGCTCTGTGTTTACACGGACGGCAGGGAACTGGAGACACGCCTGCTCCAATTTGGAAGACACATGTCGGGGCCAGCGATTAGGCTTTGGAGCTTTTAGCCATGTAGCATTGTTATTGTTCCCGCTTCATCCAAACCAGACCTGGGTGTTTTTTCAGGCTCCGTCCGAGACCCAGCCCCGAACAACCTCTGTTCTGGACTGTTGCGTCACCCACAGAGCTGCAGAGATGTTTGAAATGCATCGAGCTCCTTCTAGGGAGTGTTTTAAGTCTCTCTCTCTGCTTTTTGACACTGCTCGAGCTGTGTGGTCCTCTGATGTCTTCATGTTTTTATCACTTTATTAGATAGCCATTTTATTGTTTTTATTTTCTTATTAATATAATTTGTATGTATGTGTAGATATATATATATAGATATAGATAGAATGGATGGAGAGAGATGAGTAACGTCCATTCATAGCTACATTTATTATCTTGATTTTAAAATTTGATTTGGCAGATGTGAGTTCTCTCTGGTCTGTCTTTCTCTCTCTCTGGTCTCTCTGGTCTCTCTGGTCATTCTCGCTCTATGGTCTTTCGCTTTCTCTGGTCCCGCTCTCTAGTCTCTCTCTGGTCTCTCTCTTTGGTCCCTCTCTTTTGTCTCTATCTTTGGTCCCTCTCTCTGTTGTCTCTCTCTCTATGGTCTCTGTCTCTCTGTGATCTTTTTATGTTCATATTATCCTTTATAGATACAATGGATGGAACTGATGGAAGAATAAATGAAGAGATTGATATATTCTGTTCATAGAACAACTTTTATTATCTTGACTTTAAAATGTTATTTAGCAGACGTTTGAATGAGTTTATTATTAATGTATCATTGAAACATGCTATACCGATCGTGTATTGTTGGAGCTTTCCTTTGTCATTGACACTTGTGGTTTTTGGCGTGTTCAATGTTTCTCTTACACCCAAGACGCCACTGCTCGCCCCTGCCCTCATTTGGAATCGTTGTATAGGTATTTCTGCACCAAAGAACAAAAATCCCCTGATGGCTGACTTGATCTGTGCTCTGAAAGCGAACTGTGTGTGTGTGTGTGTGGGTGTGTGTGTGTGTACAGTGGGGTTCAGAGAAGGTAAACACACAGATCGTTCAACTTTATATTTCGTGAATGACCCAATGCTGTTTCTCTCTCGCTGGTCGATCTCTCTCTCTCTGGTCAGTCTCTCTCTCTAGTCAGTCTCTCTCTCTGGTCAGTCTCTCTCTCTCTGGTCAGTCTCTCTCTCTCTGGTCAGTGTCTCTCTCTGGTCAGTCTCTCTCTCTCTGGTCAGTGTCTCTCTCTGGTCGGTCTCTCTCTGGTCTCTCTCTGGTCTTCACACATGGTAGAGACAGGTATACTGCTCTGCTGGTACGTAGTCTGTTTACACTTGAGAATGATCCCCCTGGTTTAGATGATAACTCTTGCTGTTGTCTATGACCTCTTTCTCTGGTCTAACTCCGGATCTCTGTCTCTCTGTCTGTCTCTGTCTGTCTCTCTCTGGGCCTCTCTTTCTCTGTCTCTCTGGACCTCTTTCTCTCTCTCTGGTCCTCTTTTTCTCTCTCTGAGTGGGTTACATATTCTCTCTACCCCCTCACCCAGGACCAGTCCTTGTTGCCGGCTCTGGAAATGGGTTGTTTGTGAGTCCCCTTGTATAAAACTGCTTCCTCCCATTTTACCCTTTATATAAATGGATAAATCTTCCTAACAACGTCCACTGTGCCTCCGCTCTGGGCGCATTCAAAATCCAAACTAAAGACCATGTTTTCTCTATATTCCAATGGTTTCCCGCCCCCTTCTTCAGTGCAGTATCGGGAAAGACCTCTGCAGTGAAGGTAGATTCTGTGTTTGTGAGATGACAATAGTGTTTCAGGTCCGTTCCTCTGCAGTGTTATTGTGAGAGTCCTCCAGCTGCCCACATTGTGCTAAAAGGGGCATTATACCCGCTCTAAAGTCCTCTCTCTTGAGCGCCCTTGTTATGGCAGCCGTTTATTTAGCAGCCCATCTTCTTAAAGGCCTGACGCCGGAGCTTTTCACCAAGGATGCCTGGGGAGAATGCCTGACATGTAATATAAATGTGTCCCTGAAGCCTGCCACGCGCTGCTGTCATCCCCCACTCAGCCTCCGCGACCTCGCCGCGCATCACACCGGCTCTGGCCCCGACGGAAATACTACTGTGGCTTTTCTCATGATTATGGCTGGCGTTTGGCTCCTGTTTCTCAGTAAACACGTCCATCAACATGTAAGCAGTTTCTGGTGATTGTGTTTGAGCAAAATTATTAGCGAGTATTTGTCCGTAGGGAGCAGGATGACCAGAGATGTTAATAAATGTGCGGGTTCAGAGTTATATTTATTGCCATTGTAAGTAGCAGGAAGTCACAAACTAGGAATTTGCTTTGGCTGAAGGTGCAGACAAGTTGTAAGAAAAGTGAAGGAATGTCCTGGATCCTCACTCTCCAGACCCTCCTGCATCGTCAAAGAGTCACTTAACCCAATGGGAAAAAAGGCTGAGGCTGTAGACCCCAGGCTGAGGCTGTAGACCCCAGGCTGAGGCTGTAGACCCCAGGCTGAGGCTGTAGACCCCAGGCTGAGGCTGTAGACCCCAGGCCTGAGGCTGTAGCTCCCGGGACTGAGGCTGTAGCTCCCGGGACTGAGGCTGTAGCTCCCGGGACTGAGGCTGTAGTATGGTTGGTCAGTCACTATTTGACGGCTCTTCAGGTTTCGTCGTCCTTACATCTTTTCTGTTCCACTGGGAAATTGCTTTCAGATTTAAACCAGCAGTAAAAGAGCTGACCTGCAACAAATAAAAACGGACGGACCCAATGATTATCCAGAGCATTGACTTATTCAAATCCTCTGCGATGAATCTAGGTTATACTTTTCCTCTCGCTGCTGTTTCTGGATCCGGAACCTCTCCGTCTCCGAGCCCCAAACAAAGACATGCATTAGCGCTGGATGTGGATAGATGCCTCGACCTAAAAATTCCCCGTTACTCATTAGAACACGGCATCAAAGGCGCTCGCATGCCCCCGCTGTTAGGTAACCGATCAGACCGTCTAAACTCCCCCCCCCCCCCTCCCTCCCCTCCACCCCTCCTGTGGGGCGATGGAAGGAGGGAGGGGAGGGAGGTCTGCCGGTCCACGATAACGGCCACAAATGCACAGGTTTTCACGGCTCGCTCATCCTCACCCCACACTTAAGATGAAAACCTTTGAAACCCGCCAGCTGGAATGTCGCGCATAAACTCAACTACATCAAGAAAAAAAAGTGCTGCACCAGAGAGTGCTGCCGACGCTTTAAAGTGTCAACGTCACGTACTCTGCTGTGAGTCTCTGTGTGCTGGGGGAATCCAGGGGGAGTCCAGGGAGAGGGCAGGGGGAGTCCAGGGAGAGGGCAGGGGGAGTCCAGGGAGAGGGCAGGGGGAGTCCAGGGAGAGGGCAGGGGGAGTCCAGGGAGAGGGCAGGGGGAGTCCAGGGAGAGGGCAGGGGGAGTCCAGGGAGAGGGCATGGGGAGTCCAGGGAGAGGGCATGGGGAGTCCAGGGAGAGGGCATGGGGAGTCCAGGGAGAGGGCATGGGGAGTCCAGGGAGAGGGCATGGGGAGTCCAGGGAGAGGGCATGGGGAGTCCAGGGAGAGGGCATGGGGAGTCCAGGGAGAGGGCATGGGGAGTCCAGGGAGAGGGCATGGGGAGTCCAGGGAGAGGGCAGGGGGAGTCCAGGGAGAGGGCAGGGGGAGTCCAGGGAGAGGGCAGGGGGAGTCCAGGGAGAGGGCAGGGGGAGTCCAGGGAGAGGGCAGGGGGAGTCCAGGGAGAGGGCAGGGGGAGTCCAGGGAGAGGGCAGGGGGAGTCCAGGGAGAGGGCAGGGGGAGTCCAGGGAGAGGGCAGGGGGAGTCCAGGGAGAGGGCAGGGGGAGTCCAGGGAGAGGGCAGGGGGAGTCCAGGGAGAGGGCAGGGGGAGTCCATGGGAGAGTCCAGGGGGAGTCCATGGGAGAGTCCAGGGAGAGGGCAGGGGGAGTCCAGGGAGAGTCCAGGGAGAGGGCAGGGAGAGTCCAGGGAGAGGGCAGGGGGAGTCCAGGGAGAGGGCAGGGGGAGTCCATGGGAGAGGGCAGGGGGAGTCCAGGGGGAGTCCAGGGGAGAGGGCAGGGGAAGTCCAGCCATTGCTGCCTTGGGGCACACTGACAGAAGCAAGGCAACCAGAAGTGACTATTGGTCCGTCCCGACACGGTGTCTGATGGGGATCCTGAATGCTGGTCGGAACGGGGCCTTTCTGCCTGGAGTTTGAATGTTCTCCCTGTGTTCGCATAGGTTTCCTCCAGGTGCTCCGGTTTCCCCCTACCACTAATAACATGCACAATAGGTCTGGATGTAATGAGTGAGTGGATCGTGTTGTTTGGGGCAATCATGTGTTCTGTGTCTCGCTTCCGTCGTCACCGTGTGGAGAGAATGGCACAATATCTAAACTTTGTAATGTGCTTTGGGTGACTTTGACCTGTCAAAATGCGCTATATAGATAAAGAATACTTACTCCCGCCACCACTGGCCTTTCACACACACACACCAAACTCAACTTCCCTTCTGAGATCTGACGGGTTCAGGCTGAAACGTGAACAGAGCTGTTGTCTGCGATAGTAAAACAAAAGTGTGGGACATCCTCCGTCTGTGCGTTTACTGCAGAAGTAATCTTACTGCAGAAGTAATCTTACTCTCTGAAAAACTCATCATTTTCCCGATAGAAAATACTGATTCAAGCGACAGAGTGCGACAGACTTCAGCTGCAGCACGAGGATCATTACCGTTTTAATAGTTTGGGTTTAATTGAAGCTCCCAGTGCTAATGTGATGTCACGTCTTTCCAACACTGCACCCCCGATGGCTCCACGTTGTTGTTGTTGCTCCTTTTGCCCATTTTCTCCCAGTGCAGTTCTGCTCGATTAGCCGCCAAGTTAAAGCTCAGCTACCTAACTTTGATATTTCATAAATGGTGCATGTTTCAACAATAAATTATGAAAGGCAAATGTTGTGAACAAATCCAATTCTGTCTTCAACCTTTGATAGAAAATGTTATGTGCAGACTTGGAAAGGAAGCCCCGTGAGTCAGTATTTGGCTTTTTGGGCTGTGGGTTTTTGAGACGGAAAGATTGGTACTTTAGAAAACTTGCTCGACATCAGTTACAAACCCGAAAATAACTCTTCATAGATGGATAGATGAGCTGCTTCCTATTTATCTCTATCTCTATCATATATATTCTTTTGTTGATGTCTGCCATTTTCTCTGCTCTAGTTCAGAGTGAAATTCCAAATGCTGTATTAGTATTTAAAAATGTAGGTTCTTACATTTTAAAGTCCTAATACAAATGTGAGAGAATCATGTAAAGAAGTATCTAAGTCACTGTAGTAAGAGACAAAGACTGAAACTAGACCAGAATGTCTTCTCTGCATCAGTCTGCAGTTTGTTGGCAGTACAGGCAGTGAGAAGACACAGACACACACACACGCACACGCACAGACACATACACACACACACACACAGGCGCACACACACACACGCACAGTCTGTGGGCGTGTGGCTAATGGAGCGAACACGTCTGCATCACTGTTGAATCGAGGCCTCAATCATTTCTGCAAAATATCTCGTTGCTAATTTCTTTGGGTGAATGATGTCTGCGACGTGTTTGTTTTCCCAAAGTGATCATTCTAGACACACACAGTCGAGAGCAGACCGCACACTGACCTGACGGACAGCTCTGAACCCGCCTGTAGACGTGTGTGTGTGTGTGTGTGTGCGTCTGTATGTGCGTCACAAAATCCAGTTATTTTGACAGAATCTTGTTTTAGGAGGAATGGGGTTTGATGTGTGTCCATAGATTCACACCACGGCTACATCAGTGCTGTATATAGACATTAAGATAAGAACAGTTATATGTCCCATAGTGGGGAAATGTCAATGTTGCAACGCACATACAAGACAAGCGTAAGAGACACAAGGAGCACACAACATGTACGGAGATAAGGAGCTGTAAATACTTCTGAAATAGCTGTAGCTTAAGTGTGTGTGTGTGTGTGTGTGTGTGTGTGTGTGTGTCAGGATGAATCAAGTCTGAAATTGTTTGATTGCAGTATGAGATGACAGTATGAGACTCGGCAGTTCTCTTTGTACAGTCTGACAGCAGTGAAAGACTTGCAGAACCACTGCTTCACACAGCACAGGTGGATCAGTCTGTCACTGAAGCTGCTCTCCATTGCAGACAGTGTCCTGCAGGGGGCGACGGTCATGGTCCACCATAGATGTTTGGCCTGATGTAAGCACACAGTTCTAATGTAACTGAACCTTTAGACATTTGACTGCAAAAAATGATGAAATATGAGTCGATCATTTTTCTCTCTTAAAACAAGATTGGGAAACGGGACCAAATCATTTAATCTTATTTCTAAAACTGTTTTTTTTTGTTTTTTCATTCCAAGGGAGACATTTTAACAAGATCATTTTGCTTTGTCTCATTGGCAAATCTTGTTCTTTGACTCAGTCAGAATGTGCTCAAATTAAAATACATTTTGCCAAATTTGTGCAATTTTTGACTTATTTTTCCTCACATTTTCCAGTGTGATGAGAATTTGTGTGTCCATTTTGCTTCCTACTCCAATGTGGTTTTACTGCAAATGGTAAATAAACTAAATCTGAATCTTTAGGAAACGTAATGTGTTTTCAGTAGAACAGATTTGAGTAAACTTGGAGAGTAAACGTGAGAGCTGAGGAGAAGCAGCTGCACTCCCATCTCCTGGTCCGTGGGAGTAACTTTGGCTGGAGATTGACTTATTTTAAAATGTGAGATTTTTGAAGTGCCTCTTGCCTTTAGATTCTCCAGGATATAATCTGCGACATGGACACGGTGTAATGACTTTGCAGACCGCGCTTTCCGACAGGGAGAGTTTGTATTCTTCATATCAGGAGCTAAAACATGAACTTGGCGTCATTAGCCAGTCATCTTGCCGTCCTTTTGCATCAGCCGTGACACCCGTCTGCTGGGCTCGGGAGTGAGAGTGCGTGTTCCTCTCTCCTCAGCTGTAAGTCGCCAGCTCTCTGCCGCTCTCACCTGTTTAAATCATGAGCCGTGTGTGTGTGTGTGTGTGGGGGGGGCGGGCTGAGCGAGCGCCGTGTGTTTGATGTGAAGGACTCTAAGCACAGCAGACTGGAACGTTTGATCAGCCGCTCGCCGCTAATTGCCGTCGGACTGGATGCGTTTTGCGCGTCACATGTTATCAGACTAATGCGCCGCCGTTTCTCGCTTAAGCGTTTTTCAGAATGAAGCGCGGGGGGCTCGACGTGGGGGCTGCACCGAGCCACTGGCTGCGTTCCATCTTTACCCGTGCTTCCATATGTTGGCCTTGTCAGCGCGTCCTGCTGATCCGTGCTCAGTCCTGTGTTCTCGGTGTAATGGGTTTGATGTTTATGTGTAATTCATGTCAAAAACGTCAAATATTTGTGGAAAGGTTTTCATTAAAGATGTGAATAGATCCAGACTTTTGGGCCAGATACTGCTCCTGTTTCCTGCCAATATTCCTGTGAGGCTTAAACATGTTTTTGGTCTTACGGGGGAAAATCGATTCTGTTCAGTATGGCGATATTTTGCTCACGTAATGACTGGATACAGTAGAAAAAAGTATTGATATTTAATTCACTAAATATCTGTTGCACTTTTGTGTTTTCTGAGTTTACTTTGATCATTTCCATCTGAGGTTTGTTTCTCTCCTTTTTGTGACTTTAGTCTGTTGTATTTGAAGTCAACCTCTCACATGAATGATGAGCTCTCAGCACATCTCCTACATTTATCAGAGAATATTGTCTGTTCAAGGATAATGTTTTTGCACTTCTCTCCATGTTTGTATCGCCTTTGAGTAACGATATGAGGCCCAGATATCACAATACTATCGAAACATCACGTTTTTGCTAGCCTGGTCTTACCATGTGTAAACTCTGGTCCATGGTCATTTCCTACATGTACGTCTGGTCTTACCATGTGTAAACTCTGGTCCATGGTCATTTCCTACATGTACGTCTGGTCCTACCATGTGTAAACTCTGGTCCATGATCATTTCCTACATGTACGTCTGGTCCTACCATGTGTAAACTCTGGTCCATGATCATTTACGTACGTCTGGGTCTGAGTCTGATCCTAGTGGCTGCAGTTTCCTCGGTTAAATCCGACCAATCAGAGAGCGGGGGAGGCGGGTGTTGTAGGTCGTGTCGGTGACGTCAAGAGTTTGTGCTGAATTTGCCAGTTGTAGTTTGTCGGAGAACGCGATAGTAAAATAATCTGTTCTGGTTCAATCCAAATATCAAGAAACTGAAGCCGGAGAAAGAGGAATGTTTAGTGACTGTCATTGAAGCAAAGATGTTGTGGCACTACTCCCCATGGGCTTTGTTAGCGGCAAAGATGGCTAAAGCTAGGCTAAATGCTAAATGCCTTACTCACTCGGGCTCATTACAGACGTCACGGTAACCCCTCTCACCTGTTAACCGCGCTCAATGGAGCGAATCCAGACCTTAGTACGAGATTAAATGTCTACGATGGTATGGTAAAACCAAGCTACATTTTGGCCACTTCCCAGCCCTAATGTATACAGCTGTGTCAGGCAGCGTTTATAACCAGTTGAATGAAATTATCCTTGATGTAAAACTAGAAAACGTCTGCACAATGCACCAGTCTGATTGTGTGTCTTGGTAGTGACTTGTGTTGCTTTAGTTCTGCTGGTACAGTAGAGCCGCCTGGGCCCCGCAGGTGAGAACAAAGGAGGCTGGAATTGAACGTCCCATGATTTGAATAGTTACTGTTACTTTGTGTTGTTTTCCACTTCAGAACACATTTGCACTTTCTCTCAGATCCATGGTTCATTTGTAACCTCCAGGACTGGATTTTGGCAGCGAGCTGGTGAAACGCCGCCACTGAGGCTGAGCTAATGCTGTGTGTATATCTGGGTGTAAAGTGTGTGTGTCTGTGTTGTGTGTGTGTGTCTGGAGCAGCTCTCACAAATCACACACAGGTCTCGGATTGTTTCAAACGATAATAATATTCATGTTTGAGGGGATGAGCCACACCTCTGTCTGTGTGATAAATGAGCTTAGAGAATAGTAATGAAAACCGAAATAGTAATTGTAGAAATAGTTAATAATACTTTACAATAATACTTTGCTTCTCCATATTTTAACAATACATCACTGTTTTATCTGATTTGTTGAAGATGCTATGAATCTATGAGTTTAGTCTGAAGAACCGATTTAAAGATGATCAAGTCTATTGTATCTAGAATCTAAAAGTGTGTGTGTCAAAGATGTCACTGTTCTAAGGTATTTTGCATTCTGCTGATTGTGGTTGAAGTTGAACGTGTTGTGTCTTTGTCGTTGGTTGTGGTTTAAATCCTGGTTAAATAAGGGTTTGGTAACATACAGGACCGCTACGCTGTTGCTGGACACAAATAGGTTCTGACGCTGTATTTCTAAACTAAAGATAAACTTGAATGTTCTATTTTAGTAAAGTCTTGGCTGAAGTGAATATTCTCAGGACCTCAGACTTGTGTGTCTTTGTTACTTGTATCTGGATAGAATTCAGAATCTTTGGTGACTGGTGTGTGTCTGACTGGTGTGTATTGGGTGTGTGACTGGTGTCTGACTGGTGTGTGACTGGTGTGTATCTGGTGTGTGACTGGTGTGTATCTGGTGTGTGACTGGTGTGTATCTGGTGTGTGACTGGTGTGTGACTGGTGTGTATCTGGTGTGTGACTGGTGTGTCTGACTGGTGTGTGTGTCTGGTGTGTCTGTCTGGTGTGTGTGTCTGACTGGTGTGTGTGTCTGGTGTGTGTGTCTGACTGGTGTGTGTCTGGTGTATAACAGTGAGTTAAATCCTGGGTCCTCAGGAGCGGGAGGTAATCGGGGCCAGAGCTGCTGTAGATCAGGCTAAAGAGAACAGGTCCATTAAGAGGCTCAAAATAGAACTGCCCTGTGTTCTGTGGCCATTGTGCTGCGCCCAGGCTACACACACGTGCGCACGACACACATGCACACGTATGAACTCACAGATGCATACGAACGTACGCACAGACACGCACACACACATGTACACACGGGCGCACGCACACACACACATGTACATACAGAGACACCCACACGTCCTCTGGCTGCTAAACACTCCGGTCCCTCCTTTGCATGTTTTCAAAGACAGCGGTTGTGGTTTGATGACTTCTCAAATTCTCTTCTCGTATAATTTTCTTTTTATCCAGAGTCTTTTCACCTTTGCCCACGTTTGCTTCAGATCAGAGACTCAGAGGAGAAACACAAAATGCTCTATCTCAAAGGCATCGCACATACCTCTGTACAGCAAGAAACCATTTTGACGTTACATAGTCAAACCCTTGTAATCATTTGTCCTGCTTTTATGATATAGTTGTATGGTTTATTGATCTGACTATAGCTACTGCCCTGGTGTCCTTCATATTCACAGCGCACAAATAAAACTAGCAGAAGAAATGTGGATTTAGTTCACTGAAGGTTTGCAGTTTCTCAGCCAGGATTGGAATTATCTAAAGGAAACTTTAGGTGAAATTGTTGTGACCATCTTTCTATTGGTGGTAGTGTTTGTGTGCTCAAATGCACTTAGTCTGTGTCTGCTTTTCCTGTGTCTGTGTGTGTATCTTTGTGTGTGTGTGTGGCTTGTCTGGGCAGCCTGCTCTCTCTCGTGCTGGCTCAGCTTGGCTCCGCTTATCCAGCCGCCTCCTTCATCTTTGTCTCATCACGCCCTCCTCCTCCTCTGCCCTCCAAACTCTCCCAAGGTCAATATTTCATCTCTGACAAGCCTGCGTCTGTCTGTGTGTGCGCGTGTGTGCGCGTCTGTGTGTGTGCGCGTCTGTGTGTGTGCGCGTCTGTGTGTGTGTGTACAGTGCGCCATAGCCCAGGTAAATCTGCGGCGGCCGTGACAGAGCTGAGTCAGCGCCATGCCACGGCTGAGTGAAGGTTACAGACCTCACACTCGGCCTGTAGTTTGTCCATAACTGAAGCCCGTGGAAAACATGGAGCTCCAATCTATACCTGAAGGTGTTTGCTCACACCGCTATCAGAGACCATTCTTTAGATACAGCAAGCCACAGAACTAACACACACGTCTCAAGACACTTTCAATAATAATAATAATAGACAAACAAGATAAACTTTATTGATCTCTGATGGAGTAATGTACATGTCACATCTGGCACAGATAGAATCACTCAGATTTGCAAAAGACAGAAGTGTGCAACATGTTAAAGGTTAAAAAAATAGTCTGTACAGGATATAATTATGTAAAGTAAAATAAGTGTGGCAATAGCAGTGCTGGTTTTCTTAGTTCTAGTGTATAAAAAATACATTGCCTTTAGAAATGACATCACAAAACTATGTTAAAACCAGCATTTGAATCAAATCCAAATGTTTTTTGTACAGCCCAAAATCACAACAGTAGTAATCTTTTCGCCAACACAGCAGATGTCTCTGCCTTTATCATCCTGAGAAAGTAGCTCTCTGGGTGAAAAAGGTTGAGAGCTACTCCTTTGCTACCCTAGGGAAAAAAAATGATATATTGGTGTGAACAACACAATATGGGGGGCGACAGTAGCTCAGTTGGTAGAGCATTGGCCTTAAGCCCAGAAGGTCGTGGGTTCAATCCCCACCTCTGCACCTTCTCCACCGACTCCCACTGATGACTGCTGTCGTTGTGTCCTTGGGCAAGACACTTAACCCCACTTTGCCCAAAAGCTCCCACTGAAAGATCAAGGCTATGCTCACACTCAGAGAGCAGCCGTCCTCCTGTGGACTCACCACCTGCAGAGGGTCAGTGAGGGGCTGGTGCTATGAGACTTGGGTGGCATCTCTGACTGCCACCCCCCTGACCCAGAAATGGATTAAAGGGTAGAAAATGGATGGATGGATGGTGTGAACAAGCCTCATATCGGGTAAAGTCATTATCATATTTGTTACCAGTGAAAACCAGTCTGTGAATTTACAATAATAATGATAAGAATAATAAGAATTTGATCTGAAATATTAGTATATTTTATTTGCAAATTTCGAAATCAGTTTTTTGCGAGCTACCTGGAAGAGGTTGGCGAGCTACAGGTTGGAGACCCCTGGTTTATAGTGTTGGAGAAACACTGTTTGAATGGTCTTTTGTAATGAGATGATCCCAAATGGTCTTCACGGTCAGAAAGCAGCTCTGTTCACAATTGAGGATCTGTCAGTTTAACGAATTGGGGGTTCCTGATATTTAACCTAAAAATTGAACATTGACTCAATGATTGATTGATTTGCAATTGATTTGCAGAGTTAGCATATTTTAAAGGGCAACTTTTGTTCACCGGACTGTTCTGACTGGATTCAGGTGGTTCTGAGTATGACGTCGTCCCAGAGGTTTCTCACTTTTGTTTCCCCGCTGGGCTTTATTGAGTGGTTCCTTGTTTTTTCAGGAGGGTGGTCCAATGGCTCTTATGTGTTTGCTATTATTGTATTTCCTGTTTTTGTTTTTGTTTGAATTGTTGTTAGCTAATTCACAATTTTGTAAAGTTTCAAACGACTGAGCAGAAAAAAATGGCATTATTAAATTGATAGGACTTGAAGTGAACGATTCCAGATTCAGTTGAAGTTGGCTGAATGACACTGTTAAAATCCTCTGAAATTAAGCTTTAGTTTAGCACGGCAGGGACCTCTACAGGAATCGTCATTTGCTCTGCGACTCTCTCCAGCCTCTCTAAAGATGCATAGGTTTTATCTTAATGCAGGCGGTAAACACAGAGCACCTAGACAAAAGCAGACCGCGTTCCCCAAAGCCATTTACCAGCCCGCTGCCGGACTAAGCATGTGTGCAGCCGCCATCGATGACTCCTTAATGGCTCGTGGAAAACCATCTACTCCCACCACCCCCAAAAAAACAGAAAAGCTGAAACAAAGGCAGATAAGTGACAGGACCGGGTGCGCTGGCTGTGCTGGGTAATTCCATTTCCTGTGTCTGAAATACCACATTAACATAGGAGGGGCGGGCTGGGCCATCACCGAGCAGAGCGCGCGCTGACAGCCTCTAATTTCAGCCGCTCAGTCCTCCGTGGATTACAGCCTGCCGCACGCCGCCTCGCTCGGCCCGGGGATTCATTTGTCTGCCTGTCCACCCCTGCGCACGCTGACGAACGTGGAGGCGGAGGCTTTTAGTGACGATGGCCCTTCACGGAGGATCTGTCCTCGAGAGCAATGTCTGACTATTTGTGCTCGATAATCGATAAAACAAATATTATTCTGTTATTGGTTTTACTTTTGAAAGTAAAGCCTGGTCTTGAGTCTTGGCAGTAGAAAGTTGAAATTGCAGTACTCTCTGGACTATTAGGTGCACCTGTATACAAACCATACCAGCTAAAATAGAAAAATATATATAAAATGTACCCTCAAGCCAGAGCCATGTGCCATAATAATCACACAGCAGTTGCACTTGTATAGAGGCTCAAAGAGGCAAATGGGGAGGAGTCTGGACAAAATCATATATTTGTTTGGGGTTGGATTTTTTGCTTTTTTATATTCGGATTGCAATTAATTTTACAGCTTGACGTAGAGTTAACTTTCATTCATATTTGTGCTTAAACATGTCCGTGAGATGGATCAATGTTGATAATTTTATTGTCCTTATTACTTTTATGTTACTATTTCACACTAAGAAGAGTTGGACAGCCCCACTGTGATCAAAATATTACCATTAAATATCACGGCCAGTGGTAGCAGTGGTGGCTTTGTCAATAACAGGGTGTGTCTCTGCCTTATGGGTGAGGGGAGTGTCCGAAACCCAAAGCCTGCAGCGCTCCGTGCCCAGCTGAGGAGTTTTTTAGTGGGCAGTTGAGGAGGAGGAGGATAAATTCTTGGACAAAGCCAGATTTTTCAGTCTGGATATGTAAAAACATGCCTCCATAACTCACCACATTGACTTTGTAATCTATCAACAACTAACTTGACAAAGAAATGTGAAATCCAGTCCAAAAGCTCAGATAAAATGTTTCAGGACGAGGATGAACGAGATTTGTGCTGTTGTGGGACTGGTCCGCAAATGATCACATGTGCTGTCAAGCTGCTGCCCACCTGCGGACACTTCAGACACACTGCTCAGCCTGATACATGTGTACTGAGGTCCCCACACTGCTCAGCCTGATGTATGCGTGTACTGAGATCCCCACACTGCTCGGCCTGATACATGTGTACTGAGATCCCCACACTGCTCAGCCTGATACATGTGTACTGAGGTCCCCACACTGCTCAGCCTGATGTATGCGTGTACTGAGATCCCCACACTGCTCGGCCTGATACATGTGTACTGAGATCCCCACACTGCTCAGCCTGATGTATGCGTGTACTGAGATCCCCACACTGCTCGGCCTGATGTATGCGTGTACTGAGATCCCCACACTGCTCGGCCTGATACATGTGTACTGATGTCCCCACACCGCTCGGCCTGATGCATGTGTACTGAGGTCCCCACACTGCTCAGGCCTGATGCATGTGTACTGAGGTCCCCACACTGCTCAGGCCTGATGCATGTGTACTGAGGTCCCCACACTGCTGACAGAGAATCCTCACGAAATCAGTCAGCTGAGCTCTCTGGTCTCTCTCTCTGGTCTCCCTCTCTGGTCCCTGTGGTCTCTCTTTAGTGTCTCTGGTCTGTTCTTTCTCTCTGGCCTCTCTCTCTCGTCTCCCTCTCTGGTCTCTCTCTCTGTGGTCTCTTTTTAGTCTCTGGTCTGTTCTTTCTCTCTGGTCTCTCCCTCTGGTCTCTTTCTCTCTCTCTCTGGTCTCTCCCTCCTTATCTCTGGCCTCTCTCTGGTCTCTCTCTCGCTCTCTGGTCTCTCTCTCTCTCTCTCTGGGCTCTTTCTGGTCTGTCAGTCAGCAGTTTTGGTGAACTCTGAGGTCTTTGGGCAAATCCAATCTGTCCAAATCTTACAGCCAAAATGGATTTATGCTGCAGTACCGCTGGTGGCCTCCAGTCTATGTTCAAACGGCACCGTCCACATATATCCATGGTTCAGTCTGTGTCTGAATTGTCCTGTGCTGGCTGCCGTACTCAGTGTTGTGTGTTTTGTGTTGCAGAGATCAACAGAGTGCGTAAGGACATGTACAGTGACTCGGTGAACGGCCTGGTGGAGAGACACCCCCTGGAGCTGCCCGAGGCCGCGGGGCCCATCGTCCACCTGCAGGAGAAGCTGTTTGTGCCCGTCAAAGAGTACCCAGACGTGAGTACAGTGTTTACATGGCGGAGCTGGAGTTGGCTGGATGACATGCTTATTGTGATCTCTACTGTGGGGGAAGCACGATGAGCTATGGATTTTTGTGGATTGGTGAAAACTAGAACTCCCAGAGAAAACTGTAGGTTCCTGTAGGGCTGGGCGATAAAACTATAGCGATATATATTGCGATAGACACGTGTTCATTATCAGCCTGGAACAGCATGTGCGGCGGGAGAGGCAGTGGGTTCAGAGACTCGATGCATTCGGCAAAAGCAAGAGAATAACTTTTTCTGGAGCCGCTACGGGGACACAAGACATTCAAAAACAGCCAAAACAGGAGCTAAACCAGGACTAAACCAGGACTAAACCAGGACTAAACCAGGACTAAAGTGAGGGAGACTGCTTGTGAACATTTGTCTCCAGCCTCATTTCCCCGTGACTGTAAACAAGGCTGCTAACATGTGTTAGCCGACCAGACAAATTTATTTACATTTTAAAATAATAAATAAAAAAACAATATATTGTTATCGACCGATATGAATTACTTATATTGTGATATAGTTTTCAGCCATATCGCCCCGCCCTAGGTTCCTGTTTGCTGAGCTCTCTGGTCTCTCTCTCTCTGGTCCTTCTCTCTGGTCTCTTTCTGGAGGCCCCAGGAGCACACCAGAGAGGTCAGAGGTCAGGGAGGAGATTTTGATGAAGTTCAAAGTGTGGTTAGCTGAGTTGGTGATCTGATGGTGTCGAATACACAACTTTGCCCTTAGGAGAATACTGTTATTTTGAGGCCGATCCAAAAAGGTTTACACAAACATTCCCAAAGCTTTGCACATCTCTGTCCTTTCTGTACAATCCATTACACTCTTATGGAAACATTACGGCACCAGTGCAGACTCCTAAAGATTTATCAGGATCCTTCCCTTGTATTTAGTAGCAATTGTAAGAAATGTTTTGTCGATTTTTCATTTATTTTTATGCATGTTGTTGGCACCGAGAGCCAACTTCCTGTTACTCACAATGGCAATACAAATGCTTCTGATTCTGGTTCCAACCCTCTTGACAAACCTGGACTTTAGGGACACGTGGTAAGAGGCAAATTGAGGGACACATTCAGCGTGAGGAAGGTGCTGGGGTCAGATATCAACATCTCATATGGACTGGTTCAAAACACGTGAGAATGGCCCGGGGCAAAACCCAAGTGAGAATCTGTGAAAACTGCTGCTCAAAAACACTCTAATCCGCTAGAGCTGAACTGTGAGGACAAACTTTCAGTCTCTTGATGTGCAAAGAGTGTTACACCCCAAAAGGGAGGGGGGCTGTGTGTGTGTGCGTCTGTGTGTGTATATATATGTGTGTGGGTGGGGGGACAGAGGGGGAGCTAGAGGAGCAGTGAGCCATGCAGGACATTTCCCCCTGACAGGCAGATACACACTCACGCAGACAAACACACTCTCTCAACACACCACATTACACACACACACTCAACACATCACACCACACTACACACACTTAACACACATTCTCAATAAACACACACACCTCCCCCTCTCTTCCTCTCCAGCTCCTGGTGCACATCTGCCTCCCTCTCTCCCCTCTCTCCCCCTCTCTCCCTCTCCAGCTCCTGGAGGCCTTTCCTCAGAGTCTGGAGTGTGTTTAAACAGCTGGACACAGCACACCGGGCTTTTCCACCAAACTCTGGCCACAATCTCGACCTGCGGCCTCCATCGCACCAGGAAACAACACCCACACCTCAGTCTTTCTCCCTGGGTTCAGTCAAGACTTTTATTTCATTACTTTTGATGTTAAACAGATTAGACAAAAAAAAAAAAATCATGATGCATTATTCATGTTCATGTCCTTTAAACACAAGCTTTTTAAAGAGGCCAGGACTGAGGCTGTAGACCCAGGACTGAGGCTGCAGACCCAGGACTGAGGCTGTAGACCCAGGACTGAGGCTGTAGACCCAGGACTGAGGCTGTAGACCCAGGACTGAGGCTGTAGACCCAGGACTGAGGCTGTAGACCCAGGACTGAGGCTGTAGACCCAGGACTGAGGCTGCAGACCCAGGACTGAGGCTGCAGACCCGGGACTGATGCAGCTGTAGTTGTTGCTCAGTGAGGTGCTCTCTCTCTCTGCCGCTCAGACACTCGGTCGTTAAAACAAAAGCAAAAAATGCCAGATCGCACTGATATTTATAGTTGTGCAGCCGGGATCAGCTGCTGGGTGCACACACTGCTGCTTCTGTAGTGGCCTTTGGAAAGTGCTGAGCCTGTGCCAAAGCACAAGTACCATGTGAGACACGTTCAGCATGTCTGACCAGCGCCACCTGCCTCCTTCACCAGGAATCGTGCTGTGGTCTTTTTTGTCAATCAATTCATATCTCTACGGGATTCTAGCAGAGTTTGAACATGTACTGACTCTAAATGTCAACACATTGCTTCTAAAACTGGATCAGGGACCACTGTCGATGTGTCCCCCTGTCATGGACAGCCTCCGCTTTTGTTAATGCTGTTTTAACCACAGTCCAACCTGACAAAATCATTTACACAAAAGACATAGTTCCTGCATTTTTATTCTTGGTTGCATCCAAGGAGACAAGTCAAGAGACAGAGCACAACCAGCTCAGGCTCTCTCAGGACAGGTCTGAAGCCTTCCCGTCTGTAAGGTCCTTTTGATCACACGAGACACACCTTCATATGCATATAGGACAGGAAGAAGCCACATAAAACAAAGGAGCAAGCTAAAGACAATGGCCCACATCTGCATGAACCCCCCCTCGTCAGACTGGCCGGAGCCAACAGTGAATTACAAAACGGCTAATTCTGTTACAATACATTTTAGCCACTTATTACTTATTAAAATGATGACTAAAACAACATTCCAATGACGGCTTTCTATGAATACTGGTCTTTATGGTTCGGTTTCAGGCTAGATAAGTCACTTTTAAGCATGGCCTGTAGACATGGCCTCAGTCTGCAGGTCCTCATGCTGCAGCTTCACTCTTGCTTTTCCAAAACGTCTCAAAGAGGTTCTCCAGTGACTACTACTAACTACTACTAAATACTACTATTACGAACCGCACAGCCTTGTGCTGATAATGTGACTACTACTGCCACTCATACTTGTAAATGCTGCAGAACACTTCAAAGATAAGGTTAAAATACTGCTAGTACTTGTATAGTGCTGCTTACACATACCTGTTATGCTTTCACTGGTTCTACTTCAGTTTCTATGAATACCATTAGCACTGCTGCTTTCTCTGCTCCTGTGCGATACTATCCTATACAATACCTCTGTGATCCCCATCAGTGTGGGGTTCTCCTCTGTTAGCATGTTAGCATGTTGAAGCAGCTAATTGTTCTTGGGGTGACTTCAGGACCAGAATAAATGATGACCAGGCTGTAATCAACGGAAAACAAAGCGACTGCCATATTTCCGCACGCTCCGGCTCATCCTCATAAATCCCCACAAGTGATGCAAGCCCTCATCTATGTGTGTGTGTGTGTGTGTGTGGGTCTGTGTGTGTGTGTGTGTGGATCTGTCTGTGTGTGTGTGTGTGTGTGTGTGTGTGTGTGTGTGGATCTGTCTGTGTGTGTGTGTGTGTGTGGATCTGTCTGTGTGTGGTTTCCTCCAGGGATGTGTGTGTACTATGGTCATTACTATGACCATAGTCCAGAAATGTTGATAAATGTCGAGAAAAATGTCCCGGATCATCAGTGTTCTTAAACCCTCCTGCATCAAAGAAAAACCACTCTGAAACCCAGGACTGAGGCTGTACACCCAGGACGAAGACTGTAGACCCAGGACGGAGGCTGTAGACCCAGGACGGAGGCTGTAGACCCAGGACGGAGGCTGTAGACCCAGGACGGAGGCTGTAGACCCAGGACGGAGGCTGTAGACCCAGGACGGAGGCTGTAGACCCAGGACGGAGGCTGTAGACCCAGGACGGAGGCTGTAGACCCAGGACGGAGGCTGTAGACCCAGGACGGAGGCTGTAGACCCAGGACGGAGGCTGTAGACCAGGCATGTCAAAGTCAAATACATCAGAGGGCCAAAAAAACAAATTTGCTGCGAGCCGAGGGCCGGACTGGTTCAATGTTTATTAACTCATTGCCTGCCAGCCTATTTCAGAACAGGTACTCCCATAGTGCCAGCGGTTTCTGATGATTTTTATAGATTTTTCAAGACCCACAGAATATTGTGTACTATGACTATCTGAATTCCGAAACCAGATTCTGAAAGAATAGACTGTCTACTTTCATCAGCAAAAAGAATTTTGTTTCTAGCTTGTAATACCCAGTTGAGTAGAGGGAAGTTTTACTGAAATCACCAAAAAGCTGAGAAAAAAGAGGCACGGCTAACAGCTAAGTGCATCTAGCTGTTTTCAAACCATTCAGAGAGCTGCTGCCACCTGCTGGCTCGATTCAATATACTCTCAAGCTTATCCCCAAACATATTAGATATAATAGAAATCTGGGAACATGAAAATAGCGGAAAACGCAATTGACGTAATAGTGCGTCAATGGCAGGCAACGGGCCATGTAAAATTCATTCGCGGGCCGGATTTGGCCCGCGGGCCTTGACTTTGACACATGTGCTGTAGACGGAGGCTGTCCTGGTCTTCAACCCTTCTCGTGGACATCCTCAGTCCCGTGGTCTTGCCTCAGTCCTGGTTCTGGGTCATCCCTGGCTCTGGATGCGTCCTCCTCTCGCTCCTCTTCAAAGTCGGCTGCTTCCTGATGTCGTCTGTGATGTGCCGCCTGCCTGTGTGACTGACAGCCGAGCGCGCTGCTATCTGATCACTTCAACCTTCAATTAAATGGTATCTGCGGCGCCGCTGTGCCCGAGCCGCTCGGGAGCCGGCCCTGTCATTGTGCTCGACCTTCACCGGCGGGACACGGCTGACGCGTCCTGTGTGAGGGTCTCTTAAAGAACACGTACTGTGCACCTACACGTCATTAGGAACCTCTGACACGCCAGCATTTATCCAAACCGTTTAACACTCA